TGTTGGGCACAGTGGTAGTGCCCCTCAGATCTCTGCGATTTAAAACGCTGAGTGGCATTGCAACTGCCATGGACATGCGTGTCGCTTACCAGCAGGTGCACGACTTGTTTGTCCCGTCACTTGATATCATATCGTTTTCAATTCAGTTTATCCAAGTGCAAAGTCATTCCTTTCGCCAGAATACCAATTTACGCTACTAGGCATAGGCGATACTGTGGTTGATCGAGTGGAGGTGATCAGGGATCTTGGTTTGACTTTGAATTCACGGTTTACTTTCAAAGATCGAAAGATAGCAATCTGCAATAAGGCAAACCGAACACTCACCGACTCCAAGCGAGCATTGATGGTTTACAACGCACACGTTTGCAGCGTGTTTGAATTCGGAGCGGTAGTGTGGGACCCTCGCGAAACCACATATAGGGACATAATGGAAAAGGTGCAGAAAAAGTTTGCAAAATTTGCCTAAAAAAGATATACAATGTTTATCCGTGTCTTTTTCCTTCTATATTTGAGTACGAAGTGATTTTATTGGGCAACCTATTACGGATGCGTAAACTAATGCTCATAATGCATTTTCACGCTGTTTTGATTGGTGGGGTTGACAACTTGAAAGCGGTGGTGACACATTCTGATATTCAATGAAAAATTAATTACAGTTAATAGCGACATCTCTAGCCAGGGCTGGTAGGTGTAAAGGTACCTAAAAGGGTGACAAAATACTTTGATAGATTTCTCACAGATAGCGCAACGGCTAAAAAGTGGTTGAAAACCAAATACATACAACAACCGACAACAAGCACATAGAAGAATTCGCGAGGTCCGCGCCTTTGTTGGCATATCGTCTGGCACGGTTTGCTTAGGAGACGTCGATTCGAATCCGGCCGAATCGAAGGAATTTTTTCTTAATGTTCGATCTTTGTAGTAATAATTATAACAAACTAGAAAGTGGTATCTCGGGTACATTGACTTACAATTATATGGACGTCGGGTCCGCGCTAAAAAGTGTCCGCACTTGTAAGGCGCTAAAATCATGTACAGAGCGCGACACTCCGCTTTAGTCTTCATTTGTTCTACTGACAGCGCGATACTGCGATGACATTACAATTTAAATTTCGAATAGGTTGACTTGGGACATTTTTTTCGTGGTTTTTGTATTAGACCCGTCGTCCATTTATTTGTAAGTCAATGCTCGGGTAGATCTGTTTGTCCCTGATCGATATTTTTGTGTGGCGGCAGTGCTGTGCTGCAGAGGCGCGTACGTACACATGCGCCTACTGTTCGGACGACTTCTTTGCTCAACCAATTACTTACACAACAGTCATGTGCCGACGTATTCCATGACAGTTGAAACTTATTCTTGAAATGTGCTGTTTTGTTCCATCTATGTAATGTAACTATAATTAACTATATCTTCAATCACAAATTTTAGCAGCAGTGGAGCTTGTGAAAGAGTTCGTCCAGGGAAGTACTGCCTTACCTTACCTACATCTGCCGCCAAGTAGTAATGTCAGCATTACTGTGTTCCGGTTATGAAGGGTAACGGTGCTGGTGAAATTACAGGCACATGGGACTTGTCAACTTGTGTCACAGGTTGACGGGCGCAGTGGCAGTGCTCCTCAGATCTTTGTTATTTAAAACGCTGAGTGGCACTGCAACTGCCTTGGACAGGCGTGTCGCTTACCAACAGGCGCACGATTTGTTTGTCCCGTCACTTGATATCGTAAAGACGTGACGTGAGTGTGTGCGTTAAACCACACAACCGTTGCGGGTCACGCAATTTTCCTAATCGCACCCATGATGTGTCCAGGTCTGGAAAATGACAACGTTTCACAAACACACGAAGCGGAACTCAGTGTGTTCGTGGGTTACCTGTCAATAGTCCGAAATGACATTTTACAGAAATAACGTTTGCTAGAATTTTTATAACCTCGAAAGTAATTATGAGAGGAAAACGTTTTTTTTTTCTTTTAATCCTAACTTAACCTAACCTAACCGAACCTAATCGTGTCTTTTGCGATAAACGTGCAACATATCCTGAAAGAACAGCGGTTTCGTTATATTTCGGTTTTCGGTGTAATGAAAATTCGAACAAACGTCATTTCGGAAAAAAATCAAGTTTGTGATAGGTTACCGTGTTCATGGACGCAACATTTGTGTTCGCTCAAATGAAAACTGTGGTGCAATTGCAGATGTGCGGAGCGATGGAATACTTGGTTTTTTTGTAGTGATCCGCGTAACGTCTACACTTGAGCGGTTACAGCGGTTGCACGGAGCAGAGTTGGTGCGCGAACCTAATGGGTACCCACCTGAACATAGTTTATTTTGAGTCAAATACTTTTGGGTTCCAGGGAAAATAATAGAAAGTTCGACCGGAACCAAAGGTACCGGCTGCGGTAAAAAGGTTCTAGTAAATCTCTCACTAGATGTCCCTTGTGACGCTAAATGCTGAAAACCTGTACAAAGATCTTTATTAAATACGCATAGGAGAATTTCAACAACTCGATAACTTGCCCTGTAGCTCAGTTGGTTAGAGCAGCGCGACGGTACAGCGTGGTCATGGGTTCAAGTCCCATCGCGTCGATCTTTGTATTAGTAATCAACTATTGGAGTCATTTCACAAAAAATCTCAATAATAGTGGCAAATATCGCTATACCTACACGTAGCATACTCACTAAGTGTTTAATAAAAATGAATAAAAAAGAAATCCTAATAACAACTTAAGTCATACTGTATTTAGAAAGAAAACCTATACAGATAGGTCTCTCAATGGTAATTCCCATCACCATCCTAGCCAGTTAGCTACCGTGGGCAAATCTTTGTTTCAGAGAGCACACGGTGTCTGCGACAGTAATCACCTGGCTGGGGAACTTCAACATATAAAGCAAGTCCTACATGCGAATAAGTTGAAGATTCCACGCCAATGCCTGCCATCTTACCTTACGTGGGAGGTGTTACATACAAGATCGGAAGAGTCCTCAGGCGCGCATCTATCAAGACCTATTTCAAGCCCCTGAGGAAGATTTCTCAGTTCCTGAGACCCGTGAAATGTAACATCCCCTTACAGGATGCCGGAGTTTACAAGTTTGCGGTCTCTCTTATATTGGACAAACAAAACGAAGTATTTGTACCCGCGTCAAAGAACATATAGCTGATATCAAACACCGTCGCGTAAACAAGTCTGCAGTCTACGAGCATGTCATGGATAAACCTACACATTCAATGAAGTTTGACTAACCCCAGGTCCTTGCAAAAGAAGTCCGTTATCTACCCAGGGTGCTGCGAGAGGCCATTGAAATTAAAAAACATCCTAATTTCAACAGGGAAGATGGTTTTTCCGTACCACCAGTTTGGGATCCAGTATTTCCTCTAATGAAAAATCCCAAACAGACATAAGACTGCAGTACTAATTAATATGTTTTAGTTTATTCTAATTTCTATTAATAATTAATAATAAACTGAACTTAATAAAAAATTCATTCAATAAAATAATTTGTAAAACTTAATATAGCGTAAATTGAAAGGAATGTTTTCTTTGTAAAATTAAAAATAAGGTATTTAATTAATAACTATTGTAACTATAGTGAAAAAATAGGGTGGTTTGCATCAATATTAGACATAACTGAAGACTCTGTACCACCTCAGTCAACCGTGACCACGGGACCTGTACAGGGCCCGAAACGTGTGTCGGTTTGTTTGAAAAAACAAATATACGCGATTTAAATACGGAAAAATAGTTTCATTTCCTAAATAAAAAGGCTCAACCGACACGCTCGAGCAGTCAACAGCCTCTGAGAATGCCTCATGGAGAGGCGAAACACGTGTCGGGTATATTTTTGGTGATGGTTTATGACTATAGTTGCGCTTGTGTTATTTATTTTATTAATTTTATGCGGAGGGAGGGCGGGATAATTAACTGCATGAAAAAATATTCAACACAGGCGCAGCTATTTTGCACGATTTAACCTTCACTGGGTTCGCGGAGTAACTAATTAATTTACTTCCATTTTTGTCGTAATTCGATCGCTGAGCTCGGCAAATAATTTTATTTGCACTCTACCTTATATTTGTTTGTATTAAATTATAATAAATCAAAATATGAAAAGAATTAATAGGTTATAAGTGATCAATTACAATGATTCACACTACAATCCTAGTTTTACGATTACGTCTTGTAATTACCGTACTTAAGCATTTATGACGTAATAAGAAATATTTGTAAAGATGTGTTTAAACTTTGATAGGTGTATATAGCCTCATAAAGTGTTTAAAATTTGATGTGGTAATGTGTAATTTAGTGTTTACATATGTAACTTACTTACTTAAATAAAGAATTTTAAAAACAACTTCCGTTTTTATTAACATGGACTTCCGCCTGAATAAATTAATTACTAAAACATAAAGAACACAATACTTAAAAAACGAATGGAAAAAAATAATTAAGTGATGTGGACAAAAAGGTTAAAGATACAGCATTACTGATTTTCAGTCTTCACCTGGCTAGCTGTTCGCTTGCTGCACCAAGCTCATATGAGTGCTAATTTAAGCTAATAGGAGTGTACACTAAGTAATAACCTACCTTTAGTAAAAACTAGTAATAAGTTAAAATTTAATGGCTGTCCGTGTAAATTATAAACATTTTTCATACATTTCACCAAAAATTTAAAAATGCACAATCAACCAATTTGAGGGCCAACACTAATTGCAAGAGCGAGACTGATGATTGTTATCTCATTAATGTTTTTACATACGCGACCTGTGGACTTGACGCGCAGAATAGAACTCGTGATCGTCGCAGCGAGCAGACTTGCCGTAGCTACAAACCTATAAATAGATTATTTATCCAGTGTCTTCCCAGATATTACTCCGTCCTCCATCACGCATATTTAGCAATAGCACGATATTACATCAAATGCCCTTGTGACTTTTAAAGACTAATTCATATAATAGTTAATAAAATGACATGTGCAAACAAAAAAGAAACTATTTTAGTTTTTACAAGTGTATAATTACAACCCGTAAACTATCCACATTTTCCGACGGGCTCTATTTCGTTTATCTTCATTTCGTTCTTCTTTCTTCCTTCTCGTTCGTTTGACGCGGTTTTCATGTTCCTCAACCTTATGATGCATAAAAAGATTCTCAGGGTTCTCAGGTTTCTCAAAATACTCATGGTTCTCAAGATTCCCAGGCTTCTCAGGTCTATTAAAAGTCTCATGCTTCCCGAAACCCTCAGTTCTTTCAGGACTCATAAACTTTTTAAGTCTCTCAGGACTCTCAGGCCTCTCAAGTCTCTCAGGACCCTCAAGCCTGTAACGACCCGCAGGCGTCTCAAGTCTCTTAGGACCTTCAGGCCTCACAAGCCTCTCTGAAATCTTAACCTTTTCAAACTTCACAGGAATATCAGGCCACCGCTCGTTACTCCCAGAATCCTCAACATTCTTAGATTTTTCATAGTTAACAGGCATCTCAGTAATCACAGGGTTTTCGAATTTCACGCGTCCGTTTTTATCTGTATCAACAGATACAGCCATACGATTCATTGTTAATATTTTGCTTAAATCGAGTGTCACCTTCCTTTCATTTTTGACTTCGTTCTCAAATGAAGTATTTGGTTGTTCATCATTTTCCTTTTCTTCTTTTTCTTCTGATTCTTTCTTGTTGTTATTTTCTGAAAAATATAGATATATTAGAGGTTATTCTCATCCAATACTATGTATATTGAGTTTGAGTTATATTTACACCTATAAAGAACTGACATCCACGAATACCAATCCACTGACTGAATTGTACGGATTACAAATGTGTGTGACAGTATCTTTGGAGCGGTAGTAACTTTTTCATATATAGAAACTTTCACTAGTCATGTTATTATTCATTATATAAACCCTTTTTGTAAAAGTGACTGTGAGTCCCCATGTTATAATAAAATAAATAAATGGTTAGTAAAAGTGTGGTCAGTTTTTTAGGGCTTTGTCTCTTGTGTCCTTATAAAATTGACCAGGTCCTACAGTACCTTTTGTTCGAATATGAGATTTCAATTTCTTCTTTTTCTTCTTCTTAGTTCTCTTACTCTTTGAGTTGCCACCTGTACTTCTCTCTACGAATACTTGACCTATTTAAAGTAAATTATGGTTATTTTTGTCGAGCTTTTAGGTTTTCCCGATTGCTACATACAAAATATAATTTCGTCTCTTATATGTATATTAATTAGAAATATTTCTGGTTATATTATCGGAATTTTGTAATCAATAACTCCCTTGTCTTGTGGGCAGCTAGCTAAACGAATTGGTAAAGTGAAAAATAAATAGATAGTTCTTAGGTTTTCGGGATTGTTACACATAGGAAATAAAGCTATTTTTCCGGATTTAAATCGCATATATTTGTTGTTTCAAACAAACCGACGTTTTGGGCCCTTTACGGGTCCCATGGTCACGGTTGACTGGTCAGTCAACCCGGAAAAAAGTTGCATTTCCAAAAAATAGATAGATTATACACTTATTTATTATATTATATATTAGCTCTCACACAAAAATTAGAACAGTACATGAAAAATTTAAAACTAATGTAGGCAAATGCGGTCTCATCGCTAAGAGTGATCTCTTCCAAACAACCTTTGAGGTAGAGGAAAGCCAATCGGAGTAGGACACGTAGGTGTCAATTTACAAATAAATATGCCTTGTATAATTTATCAAGTACTGAATAAATAAAAATCGATATTATACTTACAGATACATATAAATATACCTAAATAAACTTATGTTTACTAATAAATATTTACACGTTGAAGACTAGAAAGATGTTTACGCAATCCGGTTTTTAAAATAAGAAGCGACTTAGAATGTCGGATTTCGTCTATCGTATTTTCGTGTCGGATGTAAAGGAATCTTTGTAAATAATACTCAGAGCGGGTGAAAGAAGGCTACAGTAAGTTATCCAATTTAGACCTAAGCTCACAGCAAATACTGATAGTGACTACAATAACGAAGGAATAACAAAATCTAAGCATAGGCATAGGCATATTGTAGGCAGGCAGGGTGGAGGTGGCTAGTGCAGTGAGGATTCCATCGCTGCACTAGGTTCCTTCGCGTTTGGATACCACTTTCCACTTAACATCAGGTGGAGTGGCGTCATTTGCCTGTCAAGTATAAAAAAAAAAAAAAAAAAAGCAAGCAGACAGCTCGAAATCAAAGCAGGAACAATGAATAAATGGTAAATTGTATTTGTTAACTACATTATAATATATGTCCTAGTTATGGTCGTAAAGAATCTCTTCAGCGACGAGGGTGTCTCCACCCTCGTCGCTGATTTAATCGGGAATTATTTGATAACTTGGCTTATTTACTGTTCGTTTTCATTTCGTTAAGCCGGCGGTGAAATAATAATGTCGGTTGATTACAATTAATTCGTTCATTGTCACATGTAATTAGTTTAAAAGTACATAAGATGGATCAGATTAAAACGAATTTAAATATCATGCGGCAAATTGACAGGGAATGGAGCGCTTACGTCTTCACGTAAGCAACGTACAACAAAAGTAACGGGACAATAATTTGTCTTCAAGACGGGACGCGTGTAAATTTATTATTGTAAGTATTAAAAATAAAACACATGTTTGTAATAATTATGAAATGTGTAAAATGATTTAATTTTTTTTTAATAATTACAAATATAAATATATCAAATTGGTAAAAAGTTAAAGAACTTCTGTAGTCTGGTGGGCTGGCTTTATATATTTTTCGGACGAGAAAATTAGCTTTGATTTGTCAGGTTTAGTTTTTAAATACGTTCCAAGGATCGAAAGACTGTATTACTAACATCATAAACAACTTTAGTTGTATGACTTTTTACAAAACGTAATAGAGTGGTTACACACGGCGATTTCTAAAAGCGATGCAATCGCGCGTTTTCATAGCTGCTTAAAGTTACGTGTACCTTTAAGTTTATGTTGTAATGTCTGACACTTTTTAGATCTGTATGTAGTAAATTCAAACGTGAAACGTCCCCGATCCGCGCTCCTGCGCTTTTATTATTGCCCGTAATAATAGTGGTAGTACCACGGACAAAAACAATTACTCGTGATACTACTAGGCTTGTCGGTAGTAACACGGGAGATTGTTATTGCCCATGTATTGAACTACTAGTAGTTCAACTGGTAATACCACGGGCAACAAAGGAAAGTTGTCATCGTTTAGTGCGATCTGTTTATATATTTTCACTTCTGTACGTAAATAAAATCAGATGAATTATTCAAAGTCGTGGAAAAAATTGTTGCTTATGTTAGCTATATAGTCCTGAGAGGTTGTTTGTATTTTACAAATAACCTGTATATATATTTTTTAAAAAAACAAGGCTTTTACTTACCGAATTTATTGACTGCAAGTGTTAAATAAGATTATTAATAAATGTTAGTGACCTTTATTTAGCAGCATCAGACCATAACCTATAATAAGAAAAGCAGAGCAACTCCCACGTTTGTCAACTAGTGTAGTGTAAGTATGTCCGTATTTAACTGCGTCTGTGGCCGGACGGTTATGACGCTGGACTGCCACGCAGAGGTCCAGACTCGATTACTAGGCCGGGAGAAATATTTGCATAGCCTACATTTATTTCTCTCGTGAGTTTGGGTGTAATTTGCGGTTGTCTATGTGTGTGTCCATGGCACCCGCGACACAGGGTTTCACTAGTGCGGGGCTATGAGTATGCCAACAAAGTGTACAGGATTAAGTTGGTAAGATAGGGCAAGAGGAATCCTAACGCCCTATAGGGCCCTCGCCCGATCCATATAAGTGTGATAAATATGTTGTCGTCGCACGTATACGTCCTCTAACTGTGGCAGTATAGTATAAGGTACTATAAGGTATGATCTTTTTAGTTTTACAGTCGATTCCCTCATTTTGGTGGAATTACAGGCACATGGGACTTGTCAACTTATGCCTCAGGATGTCGGGCGCGGTGGCAGTGCCCCTCAGATTTTTGCGGATTTGAAGCTCTGAATGGCACTGCAACTGTTATGGACAGGCGTGTAGCTTACCTTCAGGCGCACGACTTGTTCGTCCCGTCACTTGATATTATAAACAAAAGTATACACTATTTATATAGCACTTAGTACAAATAGCGGATACTTAAGTGAGGGCACCGACTGTACAATACAGTTTACATACCAGGGGAACATGTTTGAGATACAATTTCTAGAATAATCCTTGTACATACAGCGTTACTGTGCGAAGTGTAAACATATTTGCATAAAGATTACAAAAAAAGGGAAAAGTGAGATTAGAAAACTAATGCGACTAAATACTAAATTAATTTGGCAATTCAGCAAAATTTGTTGTCGAAAACATCAATGTGACCTCCAGATTCTGATATTAGTAAATCATTGTAGTTTTTTGTACACAAAGGTTTTAGGACAACGAAGATTGGGCCTAATGTTTAAGTTAATTTGAGACTAGGATAACAATATCCTGTATTTTACGTCGGGTCCGTAGTGAACAAATTTTAAATTTGTCAACCTTTCTCTTCTCTGTCTTCTTTTCTTTCAAACCCGATCGGAATGCGACAATTTTAAAAGCCTTGTTCTGTGTTTGTTATAACACCGCCGTACTCAAGTAAACTTCTTACAATTCCTTTAAAGTTAGAAGTAGAAGAAAAAAACAAACATTTACCATCGACGTCTTTAATTTTTAAGTTATGTACTTTTTCCAAAGCTGAAAATGAAATAGTAACATTATTATCTTGACTTTAAAACTGAAATTAGAACATAATCTACCGCGCTAACATGATTGAGACTATAATAATTTATTTATTTCAAATAATTTGTTACACACACACACTTATAGCTATGTTAGTTTTGTATTGTAGTCTTAACTAAAACATTAAATGGCCGCTCTGTGATGCCATTGGATATCTCAGAGCAGTGATTGATGTTAGGGCCCTGCCTCACCGGGACTCGCCAAGGAGTAGCCAAGCCGCGTATGTCGAGTGCCTAGACAGCCATTCGTTTGCGTCGTCAGGAATGGACGTGGAAGAAATCGCTCTTTTTTATATCTCCATTTATCGAAAGCCATATTTTGTCAAATTTACAATGTAAAGTCGACTAACGTGTATTCACTACGGCGACTGAAGCACAGATTAATAGATGGACTGAAGTGAGGAATGCGCGGTTTACACGCGTACATTTTGTTGGCTACGTCGCCAGCGCGCCAGACTCGCTAGAGTCGCTAAACTCCACATAACGGAGCGTCGGTAGTGGTTACGCTTCCAAATTGGCGACGTCGCCAATCGGTAGACAAGTGAGGTAGCCGCCATATATTTCAATATAAACTTTTGGCTACGTAGCTGGCGACGAAGCCTGTTGGAAATCATTTTTAAGATATTGTTGGTGCTGCACCTCACCCTGCGCACTAGTGAGGCCCAACTTTTATGCATAAAACAATCAACGCATATTTAACCGCTCACGCGATACATGCAGCCGTGCCGGTGATGATTTTATACCGATTTATCGGATATCGAAGTAACAACAGGTAAAAAAACTAATATTTATTGCTATTTCGGTAACTACTCTAGCAAACCACAAAGTTTTTAATGCCTAGGTCTGTCATTTAAAAAAAATAAACAACCTCAAAAATACGACACGACAATGGTGTGTGTTATTGTTTGGGCTGGTGACGTCGGTGTTTATTTATTGAAAACATACCGTAAGTAGCGTTTTTTAAGTTTACCCTGAATATAAATGTTTATAAACTATACTTTAAGGAGTAATTTCATGGTAAACGTTAGAACCACTCAAACGGAATATTATCATATTTATCCAAGTACACCAAAAATTTCATTAGTGCTTTTTAAGTGCAGGATTTGCGGTGTATTACTGTATTTTATTTGAGATGTTTTTGTTGGTAGTACGGAGGGAATTTATTTAGCAATGCAGAATAATAATTTTTATTTATAAAAACTTGTATTTAAACTGAATGCTTTTCTAATTTCCGAAACCAAATAGCCGCCATTTTGCGGTAGGAAGAGCGCATCGCGTGAGCGGATATAGGCAGACCCAACAATACCCTAAAAGCATTGTTGTACTATACTCGGAGGGCATTGTAAGCTACATTGGTGTAAGCCACAGGTTACATGTGTAAAAAGATGTACAATAGACTCTGGAAAGTGTGAGTTTAACCTCATCTGAACACCGTGCAAACCTGCACTTATGTTTGCTCGTCGCTTCCCTCTCAATATCGTCATTGTCATAGAGGTCGCAATTTATGTGTCCTAGATATTTAAATTGATAATATACCCTTTGCAGGGGTGCACCATTCAACTTGACACGTGGTACGTTATTAGGAATTTTACCGCCGGCCTCAAAGACCATAACCTCGCCCTTCTTGACATTGTACAACAAACCATCTCACTTACTTTGATTTAAAGTTCACGATTTTCACACATAAATTTTTAGTTCGGGTCTTCATCATGTATAAAACATATTTTTATTAACTCGACGTTTCGGACGTATTGCAACGTCTATGGTCTAAATCGCCGCCGTTCGGTAGCCGTGCGAGTTTTTCTAACTACCCGCACATTGCACTAGGGTTATCACTATACGTCCGAAACGTAAAGGTAGTTAAAATATGTTTTATACATGAACTAAAAATTAAATAATATCTATTCTTATCGATATTATCATTATGAACCAAAAATGTCTGCTTTCTGGACCAGGGTAACCTCTACGAAGAGACTTTAGGTCGTTGTCCTCAACACAGGTCCACCGTCCAATGCATCTTGCAGACTTCACACGCTTTTGAAACGTTGTGAACCACTGTCGACGTGCAAGTTTTCTAACGAGGTTTTCTTGAGCCGTAAAAGCAAGAACAATAAAAGAAATATCTCACACTCAATAACGGGGTCCAGTCTCCTGTGCAGCTCTTCTCGTCCATACGAGGAGACAAGAGTCTGGACGTAGCTTTTGAGGTCCTTTAACCATAATGGATCAGATAGCTTTCTTCTTACCGAATTCTTTGATGTATCTGTTTTCAATAAAAAGAAAAGATTATTGATAAATGTTATTTAGATTATAAGTGTCACTGCAGCGTATCTTGCTCTCTTAAGCCGAGTACTCACTAGCGGCCTGTAACCATTGAATAGAATACAATTCTAGTAATTCTGGTACTCATTCTAGCGAGTGAAGATTGTTTCACGTGTACACACCAGAACATCGTAACTGTATCCGTATATAACTTTGCACAGACACTCTATCGCGCGCGATAAAGCAACGTGCGCCATTGAGCGCACGTGTAAGGGCGCATTTATACGACACGAATTTGATCGCGCTCACCCCGCGCGGTAGTATTATTCAGAGAAATTTAAATGTCGTTGCCTAGCAAATAGAATTGAGATTCGCCATTAATGTACAAGAAGACGTGGTAACTGGGCGGTCGCCGCGCGTAGTCGCGCGAACACTATCGCTGGGCGAAAACTGGGTGCATAAGATGTTGGAAAGAAAAGGAAAAGACCGCGCGATTGCACTCCTCAGTTGTGCGCGCAATCGCGCCAGTTTCACATGGTCTATCCTGCGCTATTAGCCTTTACTGGGATGATATTTCCGTTGTAACAAAAACGAACAGGCGCAGTCGCGGGCGAAAGAACGTTAGCTTAAAAAACTTCAAACAAGTAATCGCGCAGAATTGAATGGAACAGAATAGAATAAAATAGACATTTACTGCAATTGCGCGTGCATACTTTCCCGCGCGCATTCATGTCCGCTCCTGATCACGCGCGATAGAGTGACGACATGAGTACCCGGCTTTACATCTTAGAGCTCGGGTTAGTGTTAGTAATCGTAATCAGGAAATCTATTAACAGACTTAAGCGATGTGGCCCCATTTTTATTTTGTCTCAAAGAAGCTTTGTTTCCAATTTTGAAGGTTCTATTTTGAAGAGACGATTTGTATTCAAGATCCGTCGTTTCAAACAAAAAATCTATACTGTATGTTTCTATGGTTAACGATTAACTTGAACGCCCCTGGCGTAGCGACGAGTCGATACGATTATTTTGACAATCGATCGAAACGAGACACAGAGACAATTTATGAAAAAAATACACACACTTGGCCACAACCTTATCTGATGTGAACGAAGATGTGACTGACGAGATGGTACGCGTTATTTTTAACCAATGCGGGCGATGCCGGCTTGTATTTGATCTATGCGGCGGCCGCGCGGCGACCGCGCGGTTGTGTTATTCGGAGGAATTAAAATATTGTTGCCTAGTAAATTCAGATTCGCCATTAATGTACATGAAAGCATGGTAACTGGGCGCGCGAAAACTTTCGCGTCGTGTAACTGGGCGCTAAAGGTTTGAGTGCCAAGTTTTAATAAAATAAGTACTCGGAAAGTGTTTGAAATCCAAAACATTCATCCCCTAATATGCCATCATGAGAGGTAGAATATTTTCTTACAATTTGAATGAGACCACTACTGAGGCACCCCCTTTCCAACAAAAAACACACACACACACACACACACACACACACACACACACACACACACA